TGGCCGCCCTGTCGGGCAAAAGAGAACTGCCCCTCTGGGTTTCCAAGTCTGTAGATCTTTACGGGAGCAGAAAGCCTCGTCTTTCTCGTATGGAGCAGCTGGTGGTTTTCAACAGCTGACCTTCTGGCTAGCAACCCAACACATAACCCACGATGCCACCAGGGCTCCTTGGAAGGCCACCTGGAGGGTCCTAATAGGAACAAACTTGTTTAGGACATGGGAGGGTCATACTGGCAGAAGGGTGTGGAAAAGTTCTATTCCATAGAGGAAGTTTCAGACATGAAACCATTGGGAGAATGAGCCTGCCAGCAGAATGCAGGAAGAGTTCATTAAGGAGCCATCTCAGAAGCAAGAGAGGGATTTCACTACCAGCCAGAGCCAGGAGTGGATCATCCTCTGAACCTCGAGACCCCTGCACAGTCAACCTCCTTGGTCCAGGTGACAGAGCAGCAGTAGACCACACTAATTAAGACTAACCGCACTAAGCTGGAAGGAAGAAGGAGGCAAAGATCGGAGCAGGCTCCTTAAAGAAGAGTAGACCCCGTCTTGGAAACCCGGGGCGAAGACACCAGCAGAAGTCTGGCACTGCCCAGTGGCTGGACATATGCACAAGGTCTTTCCACGTGCTCAGGGAACACCAGGGTCCAAGCAGCCAAGACCACGGGGGAGTAACTTGTCTGCACCTCTGCTCATCCTGGAATCTCTGCCACATGATGCTGCCCGGGGGTTGTTCAGCCTGTGCTCCGCCATGTTCACCCACAGGGAACTCACTCAAAAAGCGCACTGCCATTGAGTCAATTCTGATTCACAGCAATCCTATAGGACAGGGTAGAACTGCCCCTGTGGGTTTCCAAGACTGTAAATCTTTACAGGAGTAGAAAATGCCATCCTTTCTCCCATGGAGCTGCTGGTGGTTCCAAACTACTGACTTTGTGGTTAGCAGCCCGATGCTTGTCCACTACGCCACCAGGGCCCCCTGGGAGTGCACGCCCTACCACGATACTCAGGCCCCTGACAAACAGGGAAAAGCAGCTTTCCAGGTGCTCCTGTTGACAAGCATTAACAACAACACAACCCTATTTCTTCTTCTAGTCTTATGATGGAGTCCTGTTGCTAGAGTGGTTACATAGTGGCCTGCAGGCTGGCAGCCTCAAGGTCGGCAGTTCAAAACCACCAGCAGCTCCTCTGGAGAAAGATGGGGCTTTCCACTTCTGTCAACAGTGACAGTCTTGGAAACTCACAGGGGCTGTTCTCCCCTGTCCTCTAGGGTCATTAGGTGTCAGCACTGACCCGATGGCAGTGTGTCGAGTATTATGGTGATGACTTATGTACACTCTCCTCGGATGCTCTGCCCTCCCACCCCTACTCCCCGAATCAGCAGGTGCTTGGCTTTCTCAGGTAGGAGTCAACTGCTCTCTCCTTTCTTTCTTTTATGGCCCAACCTGCAGTGCTTGTGGAGTGAACCCCTGCACTGGGAAACGATACCTCTTTTCCCTGGGGACTCCCCAGCTAATCAATCAGAAATAAAGGGTTTCTCCACGAGGTATCAGCTCCTAGGTGTGTTTCCCACAATGTGATCCTTCGCCCATCCAATGAGCATTATCCCATCTCCTGCTCTAGGGGCCACAGGAGGTGCTGATCCATGGGACCTGAATGGAACTGCTGGGCAGTGAATTACTGCACGTGGTTCCCCTAGCCACCGTCTCTGTAACTCCCACCAAACTACCTTTCCCTGATGGGTCGGGGTAAGAAGTTGGGAAAGAAAATGGTTGCATTAAATGGTTCAGCAGTCAGCGACTGCCATCCTGCTGTATTTAAAGGGCGCCATCTCAGAGGCAGGAAGGGGGATTTCACTACGAGGGCTATCTAGGGGTAGAGCGTCCTCTGGACCTCAGGACCCCTACACAGTGAAACTCCTTGATCCAGGACGACAGCGTTGGCACCAAAAGCGTGTCAGCAGAGCCAGGAGTCAGAGCATAAGGCAGAGCAGTGGATTTCCCAGCCCATATAAGGCAGCGGTTCTCAACCTGTGGGTGGCGACTCTTTTGGGGGTCAAACAACCCTTTCACAGAGGTTGCCCCATTCATAACAGTAGCAAAATTACAGTTATAAAGTAGCAATGAAAATAATTTTATGGTTGGGGGTCGCCACAACATGAAGAGCTGTAGTAAAGGGTCACGGCATTAGGAAGTTTGAGAACCACTGCCCTCCCGCAAGTAAAGGTGAGTGCTTTGGGGCAGAAGGCTGGCTTGTGGAGTGGGGCGCCTCTGAGCAATCGGACCGGCAGAGCTGGAGCTGACTGCCTCAGCAGCCCTAAGAACCCTGTGACAGGTCCTGACCAAACAACTGTATCCTGAGCATGGCTCACCGGAATTATAATCTGGTAACTTCTTAATAATACCATAGTAATGAGCATGTCTGTGAGCTGTGTGTGGCCGCTGCAATACACTGTTGCATCTAGGAAGGAAAATCGAGAGTGCTGTGGCAGGCAGGCCAGGAGCACTAGGACCGGCACTGGGAGTGATTCTGGTATAGCTTCTAGTTTAAGGATGGCTGCCCTAAAGACTTCATCCACGTGATGGGTCACCAAGCTTTTCCCTAGAGAGCCAAGCAGTAGACACGATAGGCTTGAGGACCGTCTGATCTCTACGGCAACCGTGCAACCCTGCCATTGCAGCATGACTGTGCCAGGTTGAGGATGGCCCTGATCCCTGGGGCCTGTAAATGCCTTTATAGTAAGGACTTTGCATATATGATTAAGGATCTTGAGATAGGGAGATTATCTTGGGTTATCCAGGTTGGCCCTGGGTGCAATCACAAGTATCCTCGCAAGAGAGGGATAGAAGGAAGCTTCACAGACCAGAGAGGCAGAGGTTGGAATGTTGCCGTCACAAGCGGAGGAATGCTGGCAGCCACCAAAAGCTGGCAAAGGTGAGGAACAGACTCTCCTCTAGAGTCTCCGGAGGCGGCATAGCCTGAGAAACCTTCACCGGGACCCACGAGGCTGATGGCACACTGCCGGCCTCCAGAGCCGAGGAAGAACAAATTTCTGTTGTTTTAAGACGTTTGTGTGCCGGTTTGTTATAAGAGCAATAGGAAATTAATACATCGACTATATAAATTGGTTTGGCTGCGTTCCAATAACATTTGATTGACAAAAGCACATGGCGAGCTGCAGGCTATAGTTTTCTGGTCCCTGAATTAAACATCTAGAGATCCAGGTGCATAAGATGGGTGGGAGAGAGAATTTAGGAAGAAATATTTGATAGTCGCTTTCCAAGGCAACTCTCTTTGGAATGGGTACAAACTTGGCCAACTACTGGGATGAGATCCATATCTATACCCCCAAAAGGTGATGCAATAAAATGTATACATTATAGGTACATATCATTACTATCATATGCTAGTAAAGCCCAACAACAGTTGCAGTTCCGGAAATGCAGGCTGGCTTCAGAAGAGAACGTGGAATAATGGATATCACTGGTGACATCTGATAGATCTTAGCTGAAAGCAGAGAATATGAAAAAGCTGGTTACTTGTCTTTTATTGACTACTCAAAGGCTTTCAATTGTGTGCATCATAACCAACTATGGATCGTTTGAGAAGAATGGAATTCCAGCATATTAATTTTACTCATTCGGAACCTGGATGTGGATCAAAAGGCAGCCGTGTGAACAGTACAAGAGAATATGTGCATATACACACACAAAAACACACACACACACCCTTCCCTAGGGCAATGACAGAGGAAAGTTCAGCAGAGGCTCACCAGACACGAAGGCCACTTTTTCCTTTAGGATGGGAAGGACATCAGAAGCTTTCAAACCATCATTCCGAAAAGATCCTGCAGAAAAACAAAACAGGAAGAGTCAGGTGAAGAAGGCCTGTTGACTGACTCTCTGGGTCCCACCCTCAGCCTCCCAACTCCAGCATGGGTCAGAAAGCTAGGCCGAGTTCAGCTCTGCCCAGAGTCCAGGGCACTTCCCCGTGATACCAGGACACAGGAGGTGAACAAGGGTTTGGGCGCATCTCTGTCTCTTCAAAGGAGGGTCAGTCCAAATCATACCTGCCCCCCTACCACCATGCACACAGCTAGCTAAGACTCTGGTACATCACAGTGCCCTGAATTTTTATTTATTTATTTATTTTGCCTGTCTTCAAAGTAAACTGTGTGTCTTCACTTTACGAACGGGAAAGGTCAGACCGAAGTTAAACACAAAGCTGTTGCCTCAAAGCCCTTCCTGCACAGTGTTCCTCTGCCTCTCTGGCATCTTCATCAACAGACAGGAGGAGGGAGGAGGTACCAGTAACCTGGGAGGGGGAGGCACCGGTGTCTTCAGCTCCCTGTTGCTCTATGGCTACGTCCTTTCTGAGTTCCTGCTAGGGAGCTGAAGGCAGAGGCCTGGGGCCCACTCACACTGGGAAGCAAAGATATGCCTGGAAGCAAAGACCAGCCACACAGTGCAAGAGGTGTGGAACAGAAGGACCCACCACCACACACACACACACACACCCCGGCCAGCCCTCCACACTCGCCTGGTTCATTCAGAGTGTCCCACTCGGACAGGCAGGGACAGGCAGCCCACGCTCACAGCCCTTCCAGCTGTCACCGGGTCTCTGCTGTGCGTTCCCCACACAGTGGGCCCCAGAAGGTACGAGACTCTGTGTCAGCTCAGTGGGACATAACTAGGGACCATGGACACCCCTCTGGTTGGTGCCTCCTGAGCTTGTTTGACTCCCCAGCTCCTCCCTTGGGGTCTGAGTCTAACAACCTACGCAGGCAAGAGCCAGGCTGGGAAGCAATGTCCCAGCCAGGGTTGCTTTAGTCCCTAAATACTGTTCTGGGGAGCCCCTGGGGAGTTTTGGTGACACCCCAGAGCTGAGCCCCTGCCTGTGGAAGGGAATAAGCCTACTGCACACTCGACTCAGGACACCGAGGGAGGTGTACCCTGCTGTCTGCTTCTGTGGTCAAAGTTCAGACTCTAACCCAAAACACAGTTCCCAAGTGTCTCAAGCCATTTCTTCTCTCCTGCAATCAGTAAGTGAAAAGAGCCGGCAGCGCGGGCCCCGCGCCCCGGCCGGCCCGGGGGCAGGCCCTGCGCAGCAAAAAAAAGAAAAGAGCCGGCCTGTTTATTCATCAGCTGCTTCTCCTTACAAGTTATTCCACAGTGCCTGAAGTTGGGGACCTGACTTGAGAAGGTCACGAGGCTAGACGGGAAACAGGCCGCCAGAGTAAGGCAGCCCCAACCTCAGGACCTGTAAGCATTGTTCTGAGCTTTCTACTCTCTGTTCCCACACATCTCTATGCTCTTATCTTCTAGCAGGGGTAAAAAGCTCACTTGCAGAGATGAATTAGGATCAGCATGAATGATGACAGGTTTTACCAGTAGAACTCATAGCCTGTCGGATCGTTTGCTTGTTTGTTTTGTACCCTCCTCCAATATGGAGACTTGGGCACGGACGAGTCATAGTAGGCTGTGCAGACTACGTAAGTGTCAGCTTCAATTCTTTGTGTGAAAGGATGGCTGTACTTTCTATACATCGAGTGCTCACCATCTTCTCTCCACCATTATGCACACTATTAAACTCTATAGAAAACATTTCATTGTGGTACATTAAATTACAGCCCTATCATCTTCCAGAACAACACACAAGAGCACAAACAGCAAGGCTCCCACAAAGGAGATATTACTGGGTCACCAGCGTCTGCATAACCCTCTTTCTCTCCTGAGCTCCTCTCCTAGTTTTCCCACCTCTTCGCCACTCCTGTACTGTGTTCAAGTATACAGCCAGGAAGTAGCTGCCACCACATGGATTCCATCAAGTTGCATTCCCCGGGGGTTTCACAGCCGTGACCTTTTGGAAAACCTTCCTTTCAAGGCACCTCTGGGTGGATCCAAACATCTAAGCTTTCCATTGGTCAACACGTGCTTAAATTAACCCTGTACATCACCCAAGGGCTCAACAAAGGACACAAGACAACCTAACTGCACTTGCTTCCCCGGGTCGTATGGAAGAGATTCAAATTTGCCATGACGGAAGACATCCAACTTTCCTATTAAGGAAGTAAAAAGCTGTCCTGTCTTCCTTCCTGCCCACCGCCTTACCACATTGGAGAGTGAACTCCAACCACACCCTAAAGACCCCACTCATCCTGCTCCACCCTCTCCCTTCTCCCCTTGGGTATAAAGGACCACAGGAAAAAACAGATAGCTGGCCCATGCAGGTTGCAATCATGGCCCAGGGAATGTTGGTGTCTTGGGTTGGGCTCTTCTAAGATCGCTGGTGTTTCCTCTCTCCAGGCCAGAGTCCTCTCTGCCCAATGCAGACCACGGCTGGCCATCTGCCAGGCTGAGTGCCCATCTGTAAGAAAATCTAAAGCCCAGGTTTACAAATCCTTAACTAGGGGATATTAATTTCCAATAACAATGACAACATCAGGATGTTTTCGCATTAGATTTGCTCCAGGGTCTCTTTAAATAAAAGTTCCCTTCTTGGTTTAAATTAGTGTTTCATTTGCCAAAAAATTGAATTACAAATAACTCTTCCACGATAGATGTATTATGTAAAGCTAAGTAGAGCTAAACTAATTAGCCCAGCAGCCCAGAAGTTGGAGACCTTGCATACAAAACCTATTTGCACTGGCTAAAGATCCTATGTATCAATTCCCCAGGGTCCTTCTGAAGCCAGCTGTTGGAATATGTAATAAAGGGTAAGTTCACTGAACGCTACCTCAAACAGAACCAATGAAATAGCAACATGTTCTCACTACCAGGTACGTGTCTCTACAGACTAATAGTAAATGTTTGATAAATATTTGATGAAAGAATAAATGAGTGGAATGTTAACCCTCTTTGAAGTGACTTGCTCAAGGTCAGTGGTTCCATCCTCCACACCAAGTTCAGGTAATTGGAGTTGAGGCCATCCAAGGTACCACCCACCTATAATGCTCCAAGACCTTTGAACCCCTTTTTCTTCCTCCTATTTACTGACCCTGAAATTTCTCATATTATCAGAAAGAACAAGATGTTTTGAAGGGAAATATTTGGGGAAGGAGTTTCCTAAGAAGAGTCGGTACACCCTGGAGAGGTGAAACTTATCTCCGCTAGCCTCCCACCCTACTCTTGTCCTGGAAGCACTTCAGAGATCAGTGTGTTCCAGTTACCACCACTTTGCAGGTGGCCTGGATAACCAAAACCGAGGGGGAAATGATGAAATAACTTCTGTGAAGAGTACATATTTTAGAGGCAGGCAGGCTTGAACTTCAATTGTTGTGTTTGATGCAAGGTGTATTTGATAGAATAGTCTAAACCCATCTTGGACCAGCTTTCCCCCTTGAAAAAGAAAAGCCCCACCACTTGGCATAACAGTTAAGACAACTGACACAGTCCACCAAGACAATGTCCTCCACCCTCCCAAGGCCAGCAACAAACAGGGTCTTAACAGCTGGTGAGACGCCATCTGAGATGCAACCTGTGGTCTCCCCACGGGCACATCTGAGATGCAACCTGTGGCCTCCCCACGGGCACAGAAAAGAAGATCACAGACGTCAAAGACTCAAGAAACCAATTCATCTAAAAGGACTAACAGACCAGGCCCTCTGGCCCCACGGAGATCAGAAGGATGAGATGGGGCCTGGCAACCACGGTCAATTGCTCTGATGGGCTTCACAGAGGGTCCTGGGCAGAATGGAAGACAAAATGTAGAACAAAATTCAAACTCACAAGACATATCACATTTATTGGACTGACAGACATTGTTGGAACCTCCAAGACCATAGCCCTCAGCACCCCTTTCAAACCTAAAGTGGAACCTATCCCCAGGGATAGAACAACAGATAAGGCCACAAGGTGAACAACCCAGTAACACTTGCGAGGAACATGATCCTCAGAATAATCAACCACCGAAGACCAAATGGGAAGCACTTGCCCCAAACTAAAGTTCAGAAGACAAGGGACAGGGAAGAAGAACCCATGGAAATGGGGACCCCCGAGAGGAGGCAGGAAAAGCGCTGTTACCCTGAGGGGGGCTGCCCCGAAAGCTCTGGGCCAAAATGTATATAAATGGTTGAATAGAAAACTAATTTGCTCTGTAAACTTTTGCCCGAGCCATAATTTTAAAAAGTTTAAAAAGAAACCTATTGAAACACTAGGCCCCAAGCTACTGCTAAAGAACCAAGCCCCAAGCCCTTGGGGTTACTGCAGGGCCCTGATGAAGCAGAACCACCTTGGGTGCTGTGCTTTCTCTTCAGGACAAAGGCATGCATCCCGGGCACTCCATGCTAATCCCACTCCGTTTGTGCCCTGCTGCTGTCAGCATTGCAAGCCCGCTGTTCTGTTAATTAGCAAAGTTAAAATGCTAGGCATCTATTAGGGAAATAAAAATTCCCACCACCGCCTCCACGGGATTCTCCAGCATGGCTCTTCTCAGAGCTCAAGGTTGTTCCTCCTTGTTCTACGGCTGTTATGCTGACATCACAGCGGCCTGCTTCCACTCATCATTGTCCGGTGGGAAAGGCCAGTCCTGCTCACGCGGGTCCCCAGGCCGGGCAGCAAGGGCAGGACTGGGCCTGATGTTCTGCCTCTCTGAAATGGCTCTGCGCCTCCCGAGGCACCTGGGTGATTTGTGATCCTCATGCTCACTTCCTTCAGAAAGCAACCCCGCTTCCCAGGAGCAGAGACACAAACAAACAAACAAACAAACAAAAATGATGAGTATTTATGGAAGGAACACTTGGAGGTGAGGGCTGCCTGGATGCCCTGGACTATTTAAGGCCTTCTGGGCCTGAGTGACAGCCCTTTAATTTGCACTGAGCGAGAACTTGCCATTCTATAGATGCTGCCA